GCATTAAGTTTCTGGATTGCCATGATGTCAATTGAGAAGGAGCCCAACCTAGTGCTGAGGGACCTTGGTACTGGAATCAGGTAAGTGAAAAATGGTTTTTAATTTGCTTTCATTTAATTCAATTCATTATTATTATAATTAATATTATTATTAATATTATTATTAATAATAATATATATTATAGTTATTTTTATTAATATAATAATTATTGCTTTATTTGCTAGGCGGGGGTGTGGGGGGGAGGGGAGGCAGAGGGTCACTATAGTGAAAGGAATACAGCTTTCTATTCCTAACACTATAGTGTTCCTTTAAGCCAGGCCAAGGATCAAATCCTAAAAATTGAGAAGCAAATACACAGCAAAGTGTCTACAGCAGAATTAAGCAGTTTAGGTGAATGGAAGCATGTGGGACTTGACAGAGGAGGTGTGGTTAAGTATAGGCACTTGTTTAAACTCAGAACGAGTTTTCATTGCTCAGTTTCATTGGTTTCATTTTCAATCAGATGTTAACTTACTGTAGAAGTTTTTATCTTCTGTTCTGTAAAGTGGAGTTTAACGGAGCAGGAGATAAGAAATTCTAAATTAAACAGAATTTGAATTAACAGAAGTGTCAACATTAGATATTCCTTTACAATAAGTATTTAGCAAGGCTATGTAAGTCACATGCATGGAGGTGTGCCTACGACTGTATAAACAAAGTGATTTAACTCTTAAATGGCAGAGAATTTATCATCAAAAGAAAAATAATATCTAACCCTTTCACATGTATATTGATTCTGTGCTTTTGTCACATATCTTGTTGGGCCATTCAACCAATTCTTCATCTTTTGTATAACTTAGTACAATAAATAATTTATATCACACTGGCAGCAGCATGGATGACTATGGACAGTGGATAATTGATTTCACCAAATGATCACTCTCATGAATCATCTGCCATTTTACAATGATTTTCCAGTGAAATGTCAAATAATGACACACGGTGCATAAAGCAACTTTGCAAACTGAAAATCGGTTGTTCCAACAAATAGGTAATCTCAATAGACAACATTTATTCTGCCTAAATGGCATATTACGCATTTATGCCGGTAGGATTGTGTACAGCAGGAGAAGCTGCACAGTAAAACATGGCTTGAAAGATCATATTTGAACTACTGTATTATTCCATGCTAAGACTGCTAAAAAATATTAAGTAACATTATATAAAATCCAGGAAAACAAACAACATGCAGGTTGTATACAATAATCATTCTTAAACCTCTGACAGTTATATTTATTTCATGAGGACATTTATTCAACAAGGCCAAACTCTGTGTGTATTTCACTGTAAAACTGAGACTCTTTTGTAAACTTTTCCTGAGCAATTCCCCTTAAGAATATGAGGGGGCAAGGCCGACTCATCAAGCAGTCTCCCTCCCGCCCTCTACCCTAACGAATTGTGAGTGGGCCGGTGAGGGTGATCTTTAATCTTCCCACCGACCTGTGAAAGTCACACAGTAAATTAGCAGGGCCGGCAGGGAAGATGAAAGAATCTCCCTATCACCCTCTGCCCATGGGCATCGCAGTGGGACCCCTATGCTTGCGGGGCCCCCGGGCAACTGCCCAGCATGTCCATGCGGTAAGATGGGCACCACCCACACTTCGCAATGCACATTACCCACTACTGTATAGTACACATTCATAGTATCTACAATTGACAGGCATTTAGTGATGTTTGTGGTAAAGGGGCTGCTATTTATATTCTTGTGAACTGCAAAATGAGCTGACCCTTAGACTAAAAATGTATTAACCATTTCATAAACCATTAGGAATATTCTATGGTGGCTTGTCAGTTGTGGAAACCAATAGTTCTAAGGCAGGCCAACCCCCAGAGCGAATAGGGAATGGGGAGCATGACTGCTGCCCTGAAGGCAGGGCCTATCTTGGGCAGGTGCATGGGGTGCACAGCGCCCAGGCACTCTTTGGCTGCAGGCGCATTACAGCATCAGGCTCTGCCCCCTCGTTAATGGCTCTGC